TCAAAATTATATATTTTTCTGGTATAAATCTGCTGTTTTACAGGATTGTTGAATGAAATTAACATAATTATTAATTTATTGTAAAAACGACAGATAATCTGTGAAACAGATCCGGTTCAGATTTCTGTTTTATCTATTAGTTTCTATGGAGGCTGTGAGCTGTTGCCCTTTTAGATACCATTTCTGCTCCTCCATGCTGTCACAGACACTAACAGTAGACTGTGTGGGCGGGGCTTAGTCTAGTGATCTATATTTAAGTCTATGATAAAAACACATCAGCCTGTACAGACACTTCCAGTTATTGCACACCAGCCTGTTTCAGGTCTTCAAGCTTTAACCAAAAACCACCTGGTTCTAATGAACTGGTACAAAGAGAGGAGTCTGTTGGTCCCAGAACCATCAGAAGTACTGAAGGTAGGTCGGGTACGCTCCTCTGACCTGAGGCAGCATGGCTCCTGGGAGGCTGTTGGACAGGTAGAAGGAGTCCAGGGACAAAGCGGAGGTGCTGGGCAGAGGGGGCGTGTACTGAAAGTTGTGAGGATGAAGGTAGGAGGCGGGGGTCTCAGCTGCTGCAGCGTGGTACCGGGTGTAGGGCCCGGCCCGGTAGGCCTGCAGCTCAGGGTAAGACAGGAAGTGAGAGGCCATGTTGGCCTGACAGGCGTGAGCTAGAGCGTCCTGCACGCTCCTCTTCAGCTTCATCCTCCGGTTCTGGAACCAGTTTCTGATCTGACAGCAAAGAAAAAACTGTTTATTATTGAAATTAAAGACACGACAAGGATTTACAGAAAATAAACACTAAGATCTGTTTTTACTGTTTTACAGGTTTATTGCCAAAATCAGTCAGTATGTGCTGGAGATAATAATCATCTGCATCAAACTTTACCTCAACATCTGTCAGATTAACTGAATCATAGTTACTTTGTGTTTTCTAATATCAGGATGTGGCGACCATCTTGAACTGTTGATCAATCAGCTGTACAAATAAATCCAAAAATTATTTCATAAAAGATTTAATTAATCTCTCTAGTGGCTCTTAAGGTTAGGGGCGGTTCTAGGGGCAGGGCCACAGGGGCATTGGCCCCAGCTGAAATCTGATTGGGCCCCTGAAGTGCTCCTGTCCTGTCACTCATCTTGTCCTTTACCTGGGAGTGATGATAGTGGATGCAGTTCCATGTTCAAACACTAGCTGCGCTAATGAGTCAAATAGTAAAGTCCAGAATGAACCAAGCTTACAGAAAACTTCTCTTCTTAAAATGTGAACAATCCTGTAAAGAAAAGTATTTCAGCTGACAAATGATGGCTGTATTTTCTCACATGTTGTGTGTTTGAAAATATTTTATCTATGTACAGTAAAATGTATGAAAAACTGGTGTGAAAGATTCTTGGTACCACTTTACAATCAAGCTCCCCTTATAGATGGCTCATAAAGAGTTTATAGACAGGTTATTAATTAATTTGTAAAGTTTACACTTCATAAATCATTAATAAATAAAACTGGACAATTTTGTCTCTTTCCTGTCCTTAATTATTGCATAATAAATACATATTAATATTTTAAAGTGTTTACAGATTATTAACAACCTATCTATAAACTGTTTAAAAGCCATCAATAAGGGGGCCCTTATTGTAAAGTGGTACCTTTATAAAAAAAATTACATTACAAGTGTTTGAAGTGTAAAATGTATACACTGGGAATTTGAATAAAAGGATGTTGAACAAAGACTTGGCACCTCTATGAATATTGTGGCCCCTTGATGGCCCCTTACTCCTTAATCCTAGATCCGCCACTGCTTGAGGTGTTCAAATAAAATACTAAATAAACGATAAAGCTCAGAATTATTTCACAAAAATCTATTTGTGAAGTAAAACTTTTTCAAAATCACTGCATATTTTCATGCTGAGAATTAATTTTCTTCCAAGTTTTCCTTTTATAAATGTAAAGTATGACCTCAAGGACAACAAACTTGGTTTTTACGTGTTTGTCAAACTGAGCTGAATTATTTGGTACCTGTTTATCAGACAGGTTGAGCTTCTTGCAGAGCTCCATCTTGTCCTGGGTTCCCAGGTAAGCGTTTTTCTTGAAGGCCCTCTCCAGGTTCTGGATCTGCTCGGCTGTGAAAGCGGTCCGAGGCCTCCTGCCCGCCGGGGGCGACGGAGACGAGGTGGTGGGTGACAGAACCTGCCCCCCCTCGCTCTCGTACCCGGAGGTCTCCTCTTCGGTCCCGCTGCTGAAACCGCTCTGTGTCACTGCGAGGCAAAGAAAATCCAGTTCAACAACAAGCAGAACCAAAGTCAGGACAGAGTTTCTGTTGGGGTGGGGTTCTATGGAGCTGCTATGAGTATTCAGTATTTTACCTGCAGCAGTCAGTCATTTTAGTTTAAAGGATGAGAGAAAAGAGCCCAAACATTTAAAGAAATGCGTATCACATGTTGAAAAATGATGAAGATGTGTTTGGTTTGTTCAGACCTTGGAAATAATAATCTGTTCAGGTCTCAATCAGAACCACCAGAACCACGAGGTGTCGCTCTCACAGCTACTAGCACTTTACAGCCCAGTGTTTGGCAGACGTAGGTCCATCAGCTAGCTCTGGCAGCCATATGGCTCTAAAAGTTACTCAGTGGTTGATAAAAGTTTGGTAAGTTTTAAGAACTGACATGGAGACCTCACATACATTATTTGAGAACCAAAATATCTAAATCTATAGGAGTACTGTATAAAGCCAGGGAGTTAATTAATGACAAATCTCTGCTTGTGTTGTACAATTCAGTAATTGTTCCACATGTAATTTACTGTATTGAAATCTGGGGTAAAGCTTACAAAACAATTACAAATCTGAATTCTGTTTTACAAAAAAGAGCTGTGAGAATTATTGTAGGAAAAGATTACAACCATCCATCAAATACATTATTTTGTAAACTGAAAACTTTGAAATCCTATGATTCGGTTGACTACAATATTTTACTGTTTATGTACAAGGCTCATAAAAACTTGTTACCTTCCAACATTCAGGTAAACTTTGTTAAGTGAGACAGTTGTTATTATCTAAAGGGGATGGAAATGTTTGTGAAGTCGTATTTTCGTACTCGCTTGAAAGAAAGATGTACTTTAATCCAAGGTATAGGACTGTGGAACGGTCTGGAAGATGATCTTAAAAATGTTGGATCAGTGTATGTATTTAGGAGACAGATAAAAAGCTAGTTTTTTGAAGAAATATGAAAAGTAAAATGTGAAACTATTTGATTTGTTGTTTGAGTTGATGTTTTTATGTTGTTGTTGTTTTCATTTGTATTTTTGTTATTTTTATTTTTATGTTATTTAGTATAGTTTAGTAAATTATGTTTCATTTGAATATATTCTGGATGAAAAGGGGCAGACAAAATAAGATTTATTCTTCTGCTACCTTTCATTTTATTTTGATTTGTATATTTTTATGGTTTTGGTTTATTTTTTATTATTGTACATAGTATTTTTTAATTAAATGAATAAAATTTCGAATTGAACATTCTTTTCTTCCAACATGTACTCTAGTGTCTGATGTTTTAAACTCAGAACACCTTAAATGGACCCAGTTTGTGGTTCTGATGTTTAAATCATCAGAACAGAACACACCCAAACAGAAACACAGCAGGACTCTTCCATGGCTTTTCTTCTCGCTCTGATTCGTCAAACTGCCACTGCAGGTAAGATACTTACTAATCATAAACACTCCACAGAAACCCACTCCAAGAAAAAAAAAGAATAAATGAATAAAATAGTGGCAGTAGAGTCAGACTAAATACCTTGAACGCAGGCGGATGTTTGGGGCAGATTGTTGGACCTGAATGTGTCGAGGTCTTCTGACTTTTGTGTGCAGTAAAAACCAGGCAGAGTCTCTGACCGTGTCCCCCAGGCTGCAGGTCCGTTAGTCAAACATGTCCCAGGTTCTGTGGACTCTGAATATGTCCCCCATGCCACAGGTCCAGAGGCTGTAGAGGTCTCAGGTTCTACAGGCTGGCTGCTCTGGGCCATCCACTCGATGGAGAAACGTGGCCTCATGGCTGCTGTCAGAGTCAAGGAGGTTTCAGTGAGGAGGTCAGCGCTGATCCACAGGTAGGTTCTGCTCAGGAGTCTGCATGTGGTCAGGAGGTTCTGTCTGTATTTATAGCAGACCTCCCAGCTCATCTAAAGCTGAAGATCAAAGCCCCCCCCC